TTTGACTTTTGGGTCTTTTGTTTGACAAACTTTTATTTAAAAACTACTCTTCCATATACTATGCACTATATCATTTTTTGTTATATTTTAACCAACTTTGTGTAACAGAGCTGTATTTTTTTTGTTTATTCACAATAAAAAACAATTTAACTTCAAATTCTTACGGAATGACTCATCTTTTATTTAGAAGGTGCAGCGAAAATCCAGAAATGGTGGAATGTTTGATTCGTTAAATATAAAAGATAGGAGCAGGTATTATCTGACTGTGTCTGTTGAGGTTAGTCAGTGTTCAATCAGGAGAGACGGTTTTGATGAAAGAATACATATTTATTGCCAGGAATAGACGAACGAATGTAATGGAGTTTTGGCGATTAGGCCCCGCTGTGCAGGAGTATCATTCGGGAGGGGAGAACCGATCCGATGAAACCCCCCGGGGTCTAGACCCTGGTGGTGGTGAATGGATGGTTGGGTTCGGTCTGAAGGGGAGGGGCTTAGCTTGACCCTGGTAGTGAATGGATGGTTGGGTTCGGTCTGAAGGGGAGGGGCTTAGCTTGACCCTGGTGGTGGTGAATGGATAGTTGGTTCGGTCTGAAGGGGAGGGGCTTAGCTTGACCCTGGTGGTGGTGAATGGATAGTTGGGGTCAGTCTGAAGGGGAGGGGCTTAGCTTGACCCTGGTGGTGGTGAATGGATAGTTGGGTTCGGTCTGAAGGGGAGGGGCTTAGCTTGACCCTGGTGGTGGTGAATGGATAGTTGGGGTCGGTCTGAAGGGGAGGGGCTTAGCTGGACCCTGGTGGGGGTGAATGGATAGTTGGGTTTGGTCTGAAGGGGAGGGGCTTAGCTTGACCCTGGTGGTGAATGGATAGTTGGGGTCGGTCTGAAGGGGAGGGGCTTAGCTTGACCCTGGTGGTGGTGAATGGATAGTTGGGGTTGGTCTGAAGGGGAGGGGCTTAGCTTGACCCTGGTGGTGGTGAATGGATAGTTGGGGTCGGTCTGAAGGGGAGGGGCTTAGCTTGACCCTGGTGGTGGTGAATGGATAGTTGGGGTCGGTTTGAAGGGGAGGGGCTTAGCTTGACCCTGGATTCAGAGGGACAGGAGGTGAAAAGGGGTGGAGGAGGGTTGCGTCGAGTCACCTGAAATGACAGCTGTCAGAGGGGGGAGCAGATTTAAAAGGGTTAGCAGAGCGCTATGATAGGCTTGTGAGAATAGAGCGAAGTGATTGGTTAAGCTGGGGAGGGATGAGCAAAGAAGGTCTTCCTGGTTGAACTTGCGCTGAGCTTCAAAGTCTCAGATCACCTCCATCAGCTTCGTACGGCACCTTGGACATAATACAAGAAGAACATCCTTTTTGTTTTTGAAAGACAAACCTTTATTAATTATCCAAACATTTAGTTTGATCACACATCCCATCAGTAAAGTCTGTTCAATGATTTCATGATCAGTTTCACTTTACCCACACCATACATGATTTCCTTATTGATTATTATCATGATAAGTTATGTTCTATAAAACATCAGAGTACCCACTTTCTATTTGGATAACAACAACAACAATTAGTCTGCAAAACAACAAGTGTAATATTATACAATTTATTTCCTGAGCAAAGACAAGTTATTTACAAGAGAATAATAAATGATGTACTTATTGATTATGATCATGACAGGAAGTAATATCATTTTAAACATGTTATGATGAAATAAGTGTTATAACCATCTGGGAACTCATGTGTAGTTAATTTGGGCAACAATAACATTTAATCTGTCTGAATAATACATGTGATTATAAATGTCTCTGTTGTTTTAGAAAGTGGCCAGAATAAAATGTGTGCAATAAAAGAAGCTCTGCTGCTTTCTCTCTGAAGACTCGTGTGTTACAAGACAAACAACAACATGAATCAAAAGAAATATCCAACACATACAGTTGCAAGAAAAAGTATGTGAACCCTTTGGAATTACCTGGATTTCTGCATAATTGGTCATAAAATGTGTTCTGATCTTCATCTAAGTCACAACAATAGACAAACATAGTCTGCTTAAGCTAAAACCACACAAACAATTATATGTTTTTATTGAACACACCATGTAAACATTCACAGTGCAGGGTGGAAAAAGTATGTGAACCCCTAGGCTTCTTCAAGAGCTAATTGGAGTCAGGAGTCAGCCAACCTGGAGTCCAATCAATGAGACGAGATTGGAGGTGTTGGTTAAAGCTGCCCTGCCCTATAAAAAATACACACCAGTTTTGAATTTGCTATTCTTAAGAAGCATAGCCAGATGTGAACCATGCCTCGCACAAAAGAGCTCTCAGAAGACCTACGATTAAGAATTGTTGACTTGCATAAAGCTGGAAAGGGTTACAAAAGTATCTCTAAAAGCCTTGATGTTCATCAGTCAAAAAAAATTGTCTATAAATGGAGAAAGTTCAGCACTGTTGCTACTCTCCCTAGGAGACTGCAAGAGCACAGCGCAGAATGCTCAATGAGGTGAAGAAGAATCCTAGAGTGTCAGCTAGAGACTTAAAGAAATCTCTGGCACATGCTAACATCTCTGTTGACGAATCTACGATACGTAAAACACTGAACAAGAATGGAGTTCAAGGAAGGACACCACGGAGGAAGCCACTGCTGTCCAGAAAAAACATTGCTGCACGTTTGAAGTTTGCAAAAGAGCACCTGGATGTTCCACTGCACTACTGGCAAAATATTCTGTGGACAGATGAAACCAAAGTTGAGTTGTTTTATGACCAATTTATGCAGAAATCCAGGTAGTTCCAAAGGGCTCACATACTTTTTCTTGCAACTGTATTTAGAGCAAAGTTTACAAATCAGTTCAGGGGAACAAGGATCCTCCTGAGCAGCCTCCATGGCTAAACAGACACAGGAAGGAGCCGGAAGAAAGTCCAACATCTACAGAACAACTCATGAGAAGATGTTCAAGCCCCGCCCATCATGTTTGATTGACAGCTGATCTCTGCAGTGAAGACATGGACAATCAGCTCTGATGGACACACGGTGAGTTTAAGAAGTAGAAGAGTTCCTCCAATGACTTCAGGCTATTTCAGTTTACAAAACTCAGCAGTGTCTCCATAACTATAATAAAGATAAACTCCAGCATGTAGCGGCTGAGTGAACGTGGACTCTGTGGAGGAGAGTCATGGTTTCAGAGACGCTGTAGAAGGACAGAACACCTGCTCTGTGATCCAGGTACACTCCTACTCTGGAGGACAGAGGACCTGAGAAGGGAGTGCTGATACTGTTGTAACTAAATGAATAACTGTTTTGGTTACAATCTAACGCCCAAGATTTGTCATCGTTTCCAAATTCACTCTCCCTCCCTGCTCTGCTGATATTCTTGTATGCGACTGCTACACAAACTCCTCCCCCTCTCCGCTCCACCTCCCAGTAACAACGTCCAGTCAGACTCTCTCTACTCAGGACCTGAGAACATCCAGTGAATCTGTCTTGAGTGATGAGAATAAGTCTGATGTTGTCCCGTGAGTGTTGCTTTTCTGCTCCCCTCAGATAATAACAGGTCTGTGTGTGCTGTGTTTGGATCCAGAGTGATCTCCTGTGAATATGTTAAGAACCCAGCTCTGGTGGTGGGCTCTGCTGCTGACAGTAAAACATCCACTTCAGTCGGTGAGACGTTTCTCCATTCCTCCAACCAGATTGTGTTTCTTTAATGGAGCTGCGTCATAATGAGGCTTGAGGTGTTTGTCACAATAAGAGGCCAGACACACGAGGCAGGACTTACAGGCTCTCAGCTTCCTCCCAGTGCAGACATCACAGGCCACATCTCCAGCTCCAGCATAGCAGAGATCAGCAGGAGCAGCTTGGAGTCCAGTCTTCTTCAGCTCCTCCACTAAAGCTGCTAACATGGTGTTTTTCAGCAGGACAGGCCTCGGTGTGAAGCTCTGCCTACACTGAGGGCAGCTGTGGATCTCCTTCCCATCCTCTCCGTCCCAGAAGCCTTTAATACACTTCATGCAGTAGCTGTGTCCACAGGAAGTGCTCACCGGATCCTTCAGTAGATCCAGACAGATGGGACAAGATAAGGTTTCCCGCTCCAGCTGAACTCCTTTCTGCGCCATTTCACCTCTCAGTAGCAGCGAGCGTATGAGTTTCACTTCCTGAGAGCTGAAACTAGTGTGACAGGTTATCTGAGCAGCATGTGTGTGTGCAGTGAATGTGGCCTATCAGCTCTCGTACTTTACCCACATGTTGATTACAGCCCTCCTCCTCAGTGTGGGTCTGAAGGGGAGGAACGAGGAAACACAGAGTGGAGCTGGCTGTGTCTGAGAGCAGGAAGAAGAGGGAGGGCTCATCAAACGCTGACTCATTTTTTATATAGAAAAAATATAAAAAAGTATAACATATTTTGAAAAATTTGAAAGTTTCCCATGGGACATTATGCACCATGTGCTGAAAAGGCTGAATAGTTTGATATTTGAATGGTTCCTGCAGCTGAAATTAGGCTGAAGGAGTTAAATATATAAAGATATCAAATGTAAGTAGTAGTGAATTATTGTTTACAAACACCTGTGTGTGTAAACCCAGAGATCAAAGGTTTCCATGGTGACGATTTATAACGATTTACCAACTGCAGCACTGAGTCCCATAAGAATACATTGAGGATTATATCTGACAATTTTGCCACCTGTTCAAAAAGTATGGCTCCTATCAAAAAATGACCAGACCGTGAACATCTGGGCCCAGGAGTTCAAAACTTTTAATCCCTATCTGATCAAATCAGATTTGGATTTTGGGGAGTTCAAAACCAAAAAACAGGATTAGGATCACTTTGATATCCGATCAGATCAGGAAATCCAATCAAAGCTTTAATCTGGATCAAATCTTCAAAATGGGTAGTTCAAACCGACAACACAGGATTGGGATCAGTTTGATCCCAAAAAACTGGATTACCCTGATCCCACCACAGGGGTGGATTTCCAGTGGATTACCAGAGCAAAATGTACTGTACCATTTATTTTAAAATATGTTTCAGTTTAAATAAGATGGCAAAGTTTGTTAACTGAAATAATACACAATTTTTAGCCTTCATGGGAAATACATTTTATTTTTTCCATTTTTGCTCACGTTTGTGGTGGCCTATTTTGTTTTCAACCAAATGTTGATGACATTAATGTTTATGCTCATAAAAGTATCACAGCAAAGATTGTCAATCACAAATGTAATTTAGATTAAAGAAAAAATACCTTCAACAAAAGAAAAGTCGATCTGTCATCACCTTTCAAAAGTAATTGCGGACAATAGATGTCTGCAATGTGGTCTCTTGTCTTCCTTGTATTATTTTTCATGTCCACTAGATGGCGATCGGTAGGATTAAAGCACTGATATTCAGGATCTAGTCATCTTGAAAAGTCGTAATCTGGATCAGGCTGATCCTATCCTGAATTGCTTTGAACTCCAGGGACAAAATCTGGCCGATTTGTCTGATCCTGGATCACAAAAAATGGG